GGGGGGCTAGTTTTAGTTTTGGGTCAGGACTTCCTCTCATGTGTCACTTTGTGGCCGATGTAGAAATGTTTTGCACAATGACCGCCATTCACGGCATTACAGCCGCATGAGGTGCATAGGAATTTTCACGGCGCCATCTAGTGACTGTAATGCTGTGTAAACCACATTCACCCAGCATATAGGAATCGTACATCAGCCCCTGCGTCTTGTCACGTGTGTTCATGGATCGTTATAGGTTTGTCTTGGTGATGTGTGGAGAGGGAACCTCTGCAGTACACAGTGCTTTGGTCCGCACGCTTTTCATATTCTGCCGGAGTGCAGGGGAACATAACACGAAGTCGGATAATTGGGTCATTCTGATTACTATCTGTATACTGCCCCCTGCTGGGGGTTTGCAGCACTGCCACTGGGCAGAGGACTGGACTTTGAAGAAGGGTTGGCAGGGCTCTGCAGCTTGGGGATGGCTTCATCACCTGGAACTGGAGGTGATAAATTCTGGAGCAGAGCTGAATTAAAGGCTGAGTTTCGGTGGATGGAAAAACTACAAGTCGCATCAGCCGCCGTGGCAGAGGCATTTGTAGTAGGGAAGTAGTCACCAGCACACCAAAAGTTAGTGTGCACACATGTGGTACCATGTCTTGTAGTTCTTAGTGGAATACAAGTCACCGCACTCGTAGTCCATTGACACTTTCTCCCATTCCTGTGACTGAATTCCGTTCCTCAGTGAAGAGGGAAAGACTGCAGGAACCAGAGCATTGCACCCACGATCCACGGATTACCGATGCAATGCTTTATTGCAGGGGAGGGCAAACTTGGCCCTCCAGCTGTTGTGGAACTACAAATCCCATTAGACATTGCAGGACTAAGCCACAGGTATGACTTCAAGAGTAAAATGCATGATGGGATTCGTAGTTTCAGCACAGCTGGAGTGCCGGCGTTTAACTCCTTCGCGGCAGAGCCCTCGGTCCCTCCCTCCCTTCGCGGGAGAAAGCTCATGGAGGTCCTCGATTAGAGTCATGCGTTGCCATGGCATTGGTGACGGGTGTTCTGTTGCTTATCTGGACCCGTTAGATTTCTGGACTGCTGGGGGGCAGCAACTGACTCCCTCAGGAAGTTCAGAAATCTCACAGGCTACTGCGCATGTGCAGGTCCAGAAATGTCATATAATGTTAAAAAAAAAAAATCAACTCAAAATATATGATTAATAAAAAGCTATTGAGAGAGGGAGATTTATTTATATATAATAGCTTTGTATTCATCTTATCTGTTATTTTGAATTTATTTATTTTTTACATTATATGACATTTCTGGACCCGCACATGCGCATTACAGGCAAAATAGCCTGTATCATTTCTTGACTCCTCCTTCAGCGCATGTATAGAATAGAATTCTGAGACCACTGACACACCGCCCGGGATTCTGTTATGATCGGCTCACCTGCACCATGAAAATGCATAAGACTCTGCAAAAATTTGAAGACACCACGGGATGCCGTGGGACCCTGGTTGAGAATATGGAAGTATTAATTAGAGCTGCAGCTAACGATTATTTTCAAAATCGATTAGTTAGCCGATTATTAAGTTCGATTAATCGGAGTCGATTAGTTGTTGCAGCCCTAGTATTAATGATGGATATATTATTGATTATCTTCAATACAACCATTTAGGGACTACAGAAATGTTTGTGTGTGTGTGACTGCAATATCTCTAAATGGGCTGTAGATGGAGAAGCAGTACCATCCATGAAAAGTACTTTAGGTGTGTATCCAGATACAACCTATAAAGTTAGAATATATCCATTTAAGGAATTTTGTATCGGATATGAAAGTACCGAATATGTTTAGGTAAATTTAAAGCTGGGGACATCTTGGAGAAGCTATAAAGTTGGATTAGGGGGAAGTGTCTTGGAGAAGCTTTGAAGTTGGATTGGGAGGGGGAGTCTTGGAGAAGCTATGAAGTCGGATTGGGGGTGTTGGAGCAGCTCTGATGTTGGATTGGGGGTCTTGGAGCAGCTCTGATGTTGGATTGGAGCAGGGAGGTTCTTGAAGAAGCTATGAAGTCGGATTGGGGGGGGTTCTTGGAACCAATCCGGAGCCAGCAAACTGCCAACCTTACTTTCAAAGTGTTATCCCAAAATATTGACATTTCCTTAGAATCTTTTTAATAGGACTGTGTCTAGTTCTGGTTTCGGAGGAGGTCCATTTATATATGTGTTCCAACTATAAGGTCCAACATCCTTTATGACCTGTGTGAGGTCATAAAGCCTTTTTCTCATTGATTTTTTTTTCCAGTTCAGTCTATTTAATTACTTAGGGCCTCGTGAAGAATATTATCTGAAAGAAGATCTGCTCTGTGAGGGAGTCAGATTAGAACATTTTTAGCTTTTCCTATTCCCCCCCCCCCCTCCCATTGTATGTGCACAGGTTATGTGGGGCTGAAAAGTTTGATATAGAGAAATTGTTTGCGTTGCATAATATCGCTTTGAGAGATGAGCACGGCTTCAGTCCAAATTGCCCCGAGGTGGAAGCTTGAAGTGCGGCTCATGACTTGGGATAACACAAAAATGTTTCTATGTAATGTATGTTTGGACCGTGCTTGCTTGCCAGCAGCGCTGTTTGTTTGTGAAAAGAATCTGGAAAAGTTACGCTTCTGTTTGTCTTCAGGGTGTTGACTCCATCAAGCTAGAAAATGGACAGAGCACCTCCTCTAAACTGGGTCTCCCCCCTCTCACCCCGGAGCAGCAGGAGGCCTTACAGAAGGTGAGTGATGGTGTGACCTAACACTGTGCAGTCGTAGGCCTGTCTGGGCACTGGCAGATGTGCTGTCATTGCAGAGCAATACACACTGATAGTCTTTAATGTATGTATGAAGTATTATAACGCATTCTGTACGTGGGATGATGTAGTTTGTGCTTGTTGAGAGATCAGGAAGTTGCACGGCTCAGGCATTTAATGTAACTGGTCTTGGAGGCAGCCATTGCTGACCTGCTTCTGAAAATTTGAGGTTTCAGTGACCTGGAACAAGTGTGCAAAGCAAAAGTCCTTATGTGCTTACTGGTTCCGGATGTGTCAGCATGACGGCCAGACAATAAGCATTTTCTGAAGACCAGATGTGAGGTTTTCTCATATCTTAGGCTCACTTTAAAGCAGAAAATTAGGAAGGTAACTAAAACAAAGTTCTCTAGTTACATATTCATTTCAGGGTTACCAAATATATTAAAATACTGATTTAAATGCTCAAAGTCTGTCTTAACTTTAACTTCCTTTAGTTCCCCCTGCACAGCAGAAATCAGATTGGGAATGTGAGGCACTATGAGCCAACCAGGCTCTACTGCATAGCACAGTGCCGACTGTCAATCATGTTTTAGGTACTGTGGGTTGGTGGTGGGAGTTATTAGGCACAGTGTGATGGTGGTGGGGACAGGTACGCCACCGGGAAGGGGTCACAGGCGCGGACCTTGCCAATGTGGCGATTCTTATTCATTGCTCACTAAGCCAGAAGGCGGGTCGGTGACTCGGGAAGCTGCAGATCTACAGGCTTGAAAGTGAGTCTGTCACAAAAAAAAAAGAAAGAAAAATGGTAAAGTGTAACAATCGGGCACCTAGCTACCTTCAGCAGCGTGCAATCCCTCCAAAACCTCATCCGATTGTGTCAAAGACTTCAAGAAGAGAAAACAGCCTGAGATTTCACCGCAGCAGCAGGGACTTGCATGCTGATGAAGGTACGTGCATGCACCTCTAGGTGATTGCACTTTATACTTGTTAACAGTTTAGGTGTTTTTTTTTTTTTTTTACAGAGT